TCCTATGAGTGCATGACCTACGCAGAATTTTATACAGGCTGTCTCCACTTACCAGCCTGCACTGTTAAGTATAATTCCAAACCACTTATGAAGGGTTTTGGTTTTTTTGTTTCGTTTTTTTTTTTGCCTACTTTCTCTAGTAGTGTGCCTCAAACAACTATATGACAGGGGGCTTGTTTTTGTTAAAATGCAAGCTTTATTTCAGCAAGCCTGGAGTGGCCTGAGATGCATTTAAAACAATCCTTTGTGGTTTTATTGCTGGGCCTGATCCACATATGGTGATGAGGTTCTGTAGGACTCCTTTCAAATTCCTAAACTATTAATATCTGCTAAATTGATACTAAAGTGTTCTGTGGGTAAATAAAATCCCTCCCCCAATTCTCTACTCCCATGTAGGATTTAGGACACTAGCTAGAGGTAGAGATGGCTTATCTTTTAAACATAATGTAAGTTTGGGTTCTGGATTCTCCACTTACTGCTTCTCAGCTTGTTTAATTTACATCTGCCTTCTTCCACTAATGTAGATAACGTTTTAAACAGAATAGGTCCAATAAGTATTTGCTGTTACCTAGTAACTTGTGAAGTATCCAAATAAAGGCTTGTTTTTAATCACTGGATATGATGTTTTTAAGAATAATAATTGGTTTAGTTATTAGAAGGCTTGGCCAACATTACAACTAACAAGATTAATAGTAACATTTGGCTTGTCATTTGGTGTGGTGTTTATTTGTCCTTTTTTGATTCCTAAAGGAAATCTGAAATAGAATACTATGCCATGTTGGCCAAAACTGGTGTCCACCACTACAGCGGCAATAATATTGAACTGGGCACAGCGTGTGGAAAATACTACCGAGTATGCACACTGGCGATCATTGATCCAGGTAGGCTTTCTAAGTCATAAAAGCAGCTTTGTTTCCTTTCTAGTGTAACGTAAGTATTCTCTGTGAGCGGATGTTTTTGGTTCCTAAATTCAAATTGTAAGGATTTGGACATACCAGGGAATATCCTGCATTTTACTTTGCAGAGAACTGATAGTGAATTATAATTGGCTTAGTAAAAAATACTTGCAGGTTGTGGTAAAAGGTGAAAGTTTAAGGCAGAAATAATGAGACAAAATAGAAGAAAGTAATTGTGACTTAGTGTCTGAAGAGAGTAAAATTGAGGGGGGGTGCTTACAGATATACTTTGTCTTCTGTCTTGAACTTTCAGATTTCTACTTAACTCAAAATGCTGCGAATATTCTCGCTGTTCTGATTGTGTCATAATCAGAGCAGGCTAAACATTCGCTATAGTAAGACCATGCATGTGTCCCCAGACCTAGATCTTTCCCTAGGCCTGGTTTTATAAATGCTGGTGATAAGCCAGGTCCAGATAGGGCAGATTTTCAATTTGTCTAAAGAATGTGTGGCCCAGATCAGGAAATCCTGCAGTTACAAGTTGTCATTAAATGAATTGTAAATTTGATATTTTTATTTTATAGGTGATTCTGATATCATTAGGAGCATGCCAGAACAGACCGGTGAAAAATAAATCATGCAAATTTTTTCATTAATAAAACTTGCCAGAGCTTGTTTTAAAAATCTGCATCCATTTCAGTTATTTTTTTGTTTCCTGACACTTTTCATGAAAGTAGGATCACAGAAGATGAAACAGCAAGATGTGGCATGGTGGCACCTTTCCAATGAAGAGTTAATATATTCTGCTCTCCATTTTCCCGGTTTTCTGAAGATGCTGAGCATCTCTTACTTGGAATGTATGGGGTTGCAAATGTTTTGGATTTTGCAGTATTTGCATGCACAGGTCCCTTGGTGATGGGACCTAAGTCTAAACATTCGGTTCTTTTTTGTGCTTTATATACATACACTGTACACATACAGCCCATAAGGTAACCTTACACAGTGATATGTGTATGAAACAGTTTGGAATTTTCAACTTGTGTCAGCAGTGCTTAAAAACTTTACATGATTTTGAAGCATTGCTCATTTTGTATTTTTGGATTAGGGATCTTTATGCTAGACTGGGGAGGTATTCAGGAATCAAACACAGGACCTCATGCTTGCCAGGCAGGTACTGTGCCCCTGAGCTATACCCCTGGCCCCTAGATTTGTAAGAGAATTTTCAGAATTGTAATTTCAGGACATTAAGTGAAAGGTTTCACCACAGGCTAAAAAACAGCGAATTTTAATGAGGAAAGGTCTTTCCTGAGGTTGCAGGAGGTGGATAGAAGAAATAGACGTGCGCAGCTATAGGTTAAGTAAGCCCAGCTCTTCATTAAGTGTGATTTGTCAGCTTGGTTGCCTGAGTGGATTTTGCTCTAAAGATGGGCAGTACATTTGGTTGATTGCGGGGAAACTACACCTCCCCTAGAAAATGTCCCGCCTCCTGTTTGCTACATGTCAGTAGCCTTTGGCACCTTGAGGGAATAATCGGGGAAGTAGTGACTTAGTTACAGCTTGATTTCCCGAGCTGCATGGTTGCTACTGTAGCATACTTTATGTGGGCTACTGGGCTTTGTGGGAGGCTAGAGAACTTTTGAAAATGACAAGTGACTTGAATTTTAGAATAAATCTCCCTCTCCTGTCAACTCAGGCAGGTGTTTCTTTTGGTACTGGGGGTTCAAACTCAATCTCATGCTCGCTTTTGCTACTGAGTTGTGTCCCTAGCCTCACTCAAGTGGTTTTTAATAGTAGATAAATGAACCAGGAAATGAAGCTTTGTGTGTGCAGTCCACATAATAATGATGTGTCATTCTCATTTCATTTTGACAGGTGAAGGAGTTGGTTTCAAGGTAGCATGATTTTGGTGTCAATCTGAGTTACATACTTTGGAGAGTGGCTGTTACTGCTTATTATTGTATCTTAATTTTGGAGCATTGTTTTGTAGTGGGATAGTTCTTTAGAAGGGCTATATTTCAGCTTTTCAACCATATCATTGAAATGGCTTTTTTTTTCTTTTTTTTTTTTTTTTTGGTATGTGTGTGTTCCAGGGATTGAACTCATGACCTTACACTTGCCATGCAGGCACTTGTGCTGCTGAACTACATATACAGGCCTGAAATGTCACATTTTAAAATTTGTATGTCTCCTGGTTAAGAGCTACTAAGTTGGAATGCGTTTTTATCAGTACATGTTCATTGTAGATAATGATCACCATCACGGGGAGGTGGCATGTGTACATAACACTTGACATAATTCTACTTCTCACCTCTGTCTCTAGGTCCCTTTCCTAGTTGCTAAAGATCTTCTGTTTCCTGTTTTGTTTTGCTCTTTATACTTTGGGTTTCTCATATGGGAGAAACCATGAGATAAATCAAGTTTGTGTCTGAATTATTTCACTTAACACTGGTCTTGAAGTACATCCATTTTCATACAAATTAGGTTTAGCTTTTATGGCTAGTTTTCTGTTGTATATAAGTACCATATTTGTCATTCATCTGTTGGACATCTATCAGGATTTAAGTAATAAGTTGTGTTGCTGTAAAATGCAAGTATGCAAGTATCACTAAATTTCTCAGGAATATGTAAGGGGACTAGTTGTAGCTGGAAGGTGGTCCTCTTGTTTCCTGGAGAACCGTTTGTATTCAGCTCTTGCTGTCACCAACCACTTGCAGACTTGCACATCTGTGGCTGATGGCCTCAGGCTTCCTGCCCCTTTCCTGGGCCTGCCTGTACAAAAATGGACCTGGAGACCATCATGATAAGTAAATCAGCCTAAATACTGCAAAATATAATTTAAAAAGCAGAGTAAAGCCAGATAATAGGAAACAGAGATCTGCACAAGGGAACGTGAAGGGGGAGGAGGTAAAAGGGATGTGTATGTGCCAACTCCCGTGTAAGTGTAATCACGTGCTGCAAACGTGTACTGATAGGGGTTTTAAAAGATGATAAGTGCTGAGGTAAAATGCGAGATTTTTAAGTACAAGTGGCAAAAATAAGGCAAATGGAAAAGTCTTTTTTTTTTTTTTTTTGGAAAAGTCTTATGTTAGACAGTCCTCAAGTTAAATACCTGGCATCCAGTTTTACTGAACCTGGTTACGTTCCTTACTCCCTCTCCACTCCCAAGTTAGAGAAATGTTGAGCCACTAGAGGGAGCTTGGACACAAGATGAAGTGCTGAGCCGACTGGAAGCCGGGTAACTTGAACCTGAATCTGTACTAATGAAAGCCCATTTTCAGCTCAGGCATTGTTTACATATAAATTCCAGAGCTAAGAGCATGTGTCAGATGATACATGGTACCGCACCGCCCTTTGGAAGGCCCTTCTGGTGAAAACACAAAGTATTTCAATGTTAGTTTCTTTGTAAAGCATCACTGGATTGTAACTCAGTCTTCGTTTCTTGCACCAAGTGCCATCTCCAGCTGAACAAGTCCCCTTAACTCTAGCCCACTTCCTTCCTTGTCTGGTACTGTTCCTGTACGACATAGATGTAGCAATGTGTCTTTCAGCCACTGGTGGTGTTTGTGTGCTTGTGTTTGATGCACAGAAATGACACACACAAACTTCCATGGGACTTTCTAAATAACATCTTTGCTCTTGAGTTTTACCAGGTCTTGTGAGCGGACTGGGGGATCCCTGTGAATGTGCAGTATTCCTGTGGCGGTATTGTACCACTGGGTACCAGTTCCTCTTCCAATCTGACGGCAGTTTATCGCCTTCACAAACTCCAGTCCCATTCTCACGCAGTGCTCCTAGTAGTCTGTGTGGCGGCCGTCTGCTTAGACACCTACACATGCAGCTACCGCTCACGGGCCTGGCTGCTTGTAGCGTTTTGTGAGACAGAGTTATTCCCCAAAGAAACTGCCCGTTTGCACTCAGGAGCAGCATACAAAAACCCTGCATTTCTGCCTCTATATTAACACTTGTCACACACTCATTTTTGTCATGCTAAGTAAAAGTAGTTTTCATCTGCATTTTCCTGATTGTAAGATTAACCAGTTTTTCATATATGGGCCATTTTCATGTGGCCATGTCTTGTGTTCAAGAATTTTACACAGGATGCCATTCTCTGAAATGAAGTTTAATATTGTATAAAAAATTGACCTTATTACACAGGTACATATGTCCTGTGATTTTTCCGCATCCATATACATATCTCAAGGTAAGAGTCCAGTACCAAACAGCCTTTCCTGGGCCGGCCGTGTCTGTAGGGAGGGCTGCAAACTGCCCTCAGGTGAGGTGGTGGCACTAAGGCCAGCCGAGGCAGGAGCAGGTCCTGTCCAGAAGACATGCCAGAGCGTCTCGTGCAGCTTATCCTCACGGTACACTCACCTGAGAACTCTCACGGGTTCGGTTTCCTAAATGAATTTATACAAGTTAGTGTGCACTGTTCGTCTTCGCGTAGGAAACCAGCTTCCTCAGAACTGGCTGTGTTTACTGCACAGCATACAGAATTGCTGACAGCCCGGCTGTGGGGCTCCGCCTTGTTGTATGCAGGGGTACGGGGGTACAGGGGTACGGCATCTCCAGGCCTCATCTGGTTCTCAGGCGATTTTCCAAAGCTTCCATTCTCTGTGTCATTTCTTCTAGTAAAGCTCAAGTCAAGGAAGGAATCTGAATTACCTGTTTCAATTTACATTCAAGTACAGCTTGATTCATCTACATAAAAATTGGTCTTGAAATACAAACGTTTGGTTTGTTTGTTTGTTTGAAGATGGGCTCACTGCGCAGTTCGGGCTGGCCTGAACTCACTATGTAGCCCAGGTTGGCCTCAAACTTGTAGCGGCAGACCTGCCTCAGCTTCCCAAGCGCTAAGGTTACAGATGTGCACCACCATGCCAGCTTCCCTGCTTTTTAAATGTTTTATTTGATCTTTTTAAACTTCTGAGACAGGGTGACATATAGTCCAGGCTGGCCTTGAACTTAAACTGATCCTCCTGCCTCAGCCTCCCAAGTGTTGGGATTACAAGTGTGTGCTACCACACCTGGCTTCTCCCCAACTTCTGTGAGGTATTTTTGAGTCCTGATTTATCAGTTTATTGTAACTCATTTAACATGCTGTCAAGATAAGTACAGTTCAGTTTAAGGTCATTTTTAGAAACAGCCAGATAGCTCAGTTCAAATCGGTCATTTTCATTCTTCAGATTTTTCCTCCCACTCACGCCCCTAATGGTGTGGCACAGCACAGCCTGGGGGCCAGCAGAGAAGGACATGCACAGGGCGGGCTGTGAGGCAGGAAGAGAGGAAGGTCTCCACAGGGGCCGGCCAAGGCGGGGTGGGGGTGCAGTGGGGGAAACAGCAGCCTCAAGGAATGCAGGCTGGTGCTCTTTGCTACAGAATTTGAGGTCCTGCGAAGCAGGGGGATGGGGGGAGGGCAGGCGGAGGAGAGTCAGGAAGAGGCTTCCCCTTCCCTGGAAGCTCCTTCCCACCCTCCACCTGCCCCCTTGGCAGTGAGACCCCAGATGCGTCATCTGTGTTAGCCACTGAACTCAAAGATGAGTTCATGTTTCTTAGAGCGTGTTTCCAGCTTTGAAAAGGGGCACCCTTACAGGCCGTGTTCCTTACGCCAGAAGCCCAGCGGCACCAAGGCGGCTGGGAACTGACCCTTCCCTGCAGCCTGGCAGCGCACGTGGACACTCCGGCAGCCGGCCTCCGTAAGCTGCTGGCAGGTTCAGTTCAGAGCGCTGGGCAGCGAGTTCAGTGCGTAAAAACCCAAGACCTCATTTCTCTACTGTCCCACAGGGTGTCTTTCTTCATAATGTTGTCTTAATGAATCACTGGATCCTGCTGTTCCCTGGGCAGAATGTTTCATCTTTTAGAGTGCTGATATAAAAGATCTCTGCTGCCAAAAAAAAGAAAGGAAAGAAAAGCCCAGCCAAAAAGCCTCAGCCCTGAGAAACTACAGTGAATTCAAATGTGGCTGCCCAGCAAGCCGGGGCTAAAGAACATGCTCAGGGTCAGAGCGTGAAAGCTTGTTCCACAACATTCTTCCCCCAGGCACACCGAGCTTCCGCACACCTCAGACACAGCGACGCCTCGTGTCACCCCATCCACAGACGGAGGACTTCAGTCTTTTTATTTTTCACTTTACATATCGCTGGGCTGTCTGGTCTTACTGCTAATCCTCTAGGACAGCAGATGGCCACTAAGTGCTTGCTCACTGTCACTAAGCTTGGCTTGACCTGGGCTCTCAAACGCCTGTCGGCTGCTGACAGAAAATCCCTTTCTGGACTTCACCATTCTTGATGTCTTGGGAATGACTTTGTTTGCTAAAACCCACATCCACAGTATTTGTGAAATGCAGGTCCTGCAGCCTCTGTAGAGCATGATGTTAGAAAAGGATATGGCGCTGTGTTAATTTTCTGACTTCTTCATTCGCAAGGTTCTGGAACGTGATAAGGTTTTCACATTTGCACTGATCGTGTTTTTCCTCCAGGAGGTTCCCTGAGAAAGCAGATGGGAAGTGTTCACCTCTGCACCCACCAGACTTCTCCACATAACAACGTGACTGAATCAGATACAAGGAACCCAGAGTGAAAGCAAAGTCCGAGTGTCCCAGAAAGCCAGAGCCCGTCACGTAAATGCCAGGAAAGGACTGTCTGCGCCCTCACGCCGGAGGAGCCCTTATTGTGGATTAGGAAGAACACTACTGAGCCCCCCTTAGATTAGTTTTTACTTTTCATTATATTTAAGTTCTTTCTTCTCTTCTGCCTTTACTACTGCTTCCTGGAAGCTAAGCTTGCTGCTGGTAGGCGCAAAGGCCGCCATCCAGTCACCTCCCAGTGGTATTTACTTGGCGTTACCTGAAGATTTTGTGGAGTGGGAAAGCTTTTGTGTAGACTGGGGAAGATTGTCTTCTTCAAACAGATATCTATGCTGCACTGCAAAATTAGAACAGGAAAGTAGGTCTTGTATATTTATGGTGACGGGCTCAGATGCTGTAAAGAGAAAGGAAACTGAAGTCAAGCCTGCTTAGCCCTGTGGTGCCTAAAGCAGCCATCGTAGGAGTGAGGAAGGCACTCGGTCCTCCCAGCACATGCTCAGGTGGCAGAGTTTACTTTGGGACACACTGTGGCAAAAAGACTGTCAGCAGAAAGCCAGTTACCAAATACGGCTTAAAGCACAGGGGGAAATCTTCGCTCCCTGGTAGAAGCCAAAAGGCCTTCGCTAACATAACACATCTTCCTTACTGGCAGCTTTCTATCTGGAGGAAAGCGTGGCAGCAGCCCCCACCCAGGGAGAACACTGCTTTTCCAGGTGTACCTGTTGGCTGGTGGCCCCTCTTTGGCAGGTCCCCTACTGGGGAGTCCTGTCTCCCATCGGAGTCCTCTAGAGCTGAGTGAGAGATGACAAAACGGAGTGACAGATTTCCACGTGCACAACGAACTCCTCGCCTGCCCGCCATAACCCAGGCTCCTTGGTTTCTTTGATAACACCAAACATTCAGAAAGCTGGGATTACTTCAAGGCAGCTCTCCCAGAGAAGCCTGGGCCCCTGTGCCCCTGTGATACATGTCCTAAAGAAACCTACACACACACACACACACACACACACACACACATGAGTCCGAGTCCCAGGATGAAGTTGCAATGGCAGTGACCCCCCTTGAAGCATTTTAATGAAAGGGCTGTGGGGCCTCCGTCCCGGGTCCTCCACCTGAGTTCTTTCCTTTAGTTAGTGCAGCAAGGCCCATCCCTAAGTCTGGATTGTACAGATGACAGCCTGGGACCGGAGTCAGGGGACACGGGCAGAAGTGCTGTGTGTGTGAGCACACTTGGCACAACTGGTGACGGGGAGGAAAGGCCACAGAGCACAGCCTGCGTTCCGAAGGGCGGCCTGGTTCCCTGCAAGCGCAGGCAGTCCCTGCAGGAGGGGATTCTTTACCCTCGGTGACCCGCATGCCCCCTGCCACTCCAACTGCACACACACCCGAGAACGCACACAGTTCTGAGTCACACAACGCCTGCTTCTTGTGAGATGCTCACACGGCAGAACATCTGTCATCGCACAAAACTGTGTGCTGTTTCCAAGTGTCACCGTCCCAGGCCACCAGGGGCTGGACCCCGCTCTGCAGCCGGCTGGGCCTGCCCCGGCCCCCCAGCCCCGCGCACCTTCACAGATGCCCTGTTTGAGCTTCGCGCTGATCTGGCCCATGCTGCTGAAGTCCTCGGCGTAGAACAGGTGCTTGGTGGCGGGCTCCGAGGCGATCTCCTGCAGCTCCTCCTCGATGGCTTTGCCTATGCCCACCGCGTACATCTCGATACCTAGGGGCAGAGCAGACTGAGAACGAGGTGGGGTGGCCTTCTGGGCCCCGCAGCTACTGAGTGCTGTGATGTGAGGGGTCCCTGTCAACGCACTTGTCTTTGTGTTTTCTTTTGGCACTAGGGGGAAAGGAGAGGGATCCCGGAGAGAGCCAAGCGAAGCTGCTTCTCCCCACTTCTCAAGGGAGGACAGGGTCTTGCCAGACCCCACGCTGAAGAGGCAGCTCTGAAGACCATTAGAGGCCCCAGTCAGGAGAAAGAGCAGAGCCAGGTATCAACTGCAGATTTCCAAAGCTCCAAAAGCTTTTTGAAATCCTCAGGCCTCCTTCCCCCTAGAGTCTTCATGCCAACATTTTCCAGCACTGAAATAATTTTGGCTAATTCATTAAGCTACATTTTTTTTAAATGCACATAAAAATGGCCTGAAAAGCCAAGGCATAAGGGTTACTCTTGGTTCCAAGCCCATCCAGTTAAATAGCCAAGTCCGCCCTATTAGTCTGTGAGCCTACAGCCTTCGTGCACAAGTTCCTAAAGAGGGTAAGGACTATTTGAAGATAGTGTCACCTATGCATGGGAATAAATTAATTAATGAGAGGATGTGTCACCAGACAAATCTTGGGGAGTCTAGAACCAGATGCTTATTTCTCCTACCACCTACCTTTGGGTGATCTGTGGAAATCTGAGTGGGGAAAGTGTTAGTTGATTAGTCCTTTTTTGTTGTCTGAGACAAGATCTTGCTATGTAGTTCAGGCTGGCCCTGAACTCACTGTGTAGCCCAGGTGGCCTCTAACTCACAGTGACCTTCCTGCCTCGACCTCCCCAATACTGCGATTACAGGTGTGCACCACCACACCTGCTCAGGTAGATTTGTTTGAATGAGTCAAAGGGTGAACCCCTGTTTCTGCAGAAAAAGGCGCCTCCCCCAGTGCTGTGAAGAGTGCCCGCCAGCAGGGCCGTGGTGAGTGGCGAGCTCCAGCGAGCCTGTCTGGGGTGACAGCGGTTTTACTGTCCGCGGAGGACTCAGGCCTGACCCTTGGCTCCCCTGGCTCGGGCAAGGAAAGAGGAGTGAAGAGTGAGGTAAACAGTGTCCACAAGACGGCTCTTCACAGAGAGGACTTGCAATCAGCAGAGCCGGCCTTTCCAGCAAGAGGAAGGGAGCGGTCCCCTCAGCCCGCTCACTGACTCTGAGAGTTTCGCACTTGTGTCCCACGTGTAAGGCCTGGTCAGGCACTGGCCCAGCGAGTCCTGGTGGGGGGCCTTGTCTGTGCCTTCTTTTCCCCGTAGAGGACCGGCTGGAGCACTGCGCCTTCTATAGGGGCTCAGAGCAGCGGCCACAAATACACCGCCTCCCAGGCTCAGGTCTTCCGTGTCCCCAGGGAAGCCACTCACTGGCTCCCTCCGCTCCCCTCCCAGCTCTGGGTGCCTTTTACCTCTGTCACAGTCCCTTCCCACATGTTAAGTCAGCACCCCTGAAGCAACCCTCAGTGGGCAGTCACCACCTATACTAACATCTTCAGTTTTCAAAAAGCTCACTTTCCCTTGCTGCACCAGTGGAAGTATTGTCCACCTAAGGCTTCAATGTTCCCGCACAGCACTGGTTAAAAACAAAAGGAGCTGGAGGGGGCGGCACACGCCCGTAACCCTAGCATTTGGGAGGCTGAGGCAGGAGGATCGCTACAAGTTTGAAGCCAGCCTGGGCTACGCAGTGAATTCAAGGCCAGCCTGATAAAAACAGAAACAAAAAACAGAACAGGTCCCATTACTGCCTCTAGGTGGCAGTGTGGTAAAGGTGGCAATGCCGCGGGTCCTTCAAAGGCCAGCCCAGCCCGCGAGACCACGTTACCATGGGCTTTGGCCTTGTTGGCCCACTCGGAGACATCATCCTGGGCCCGTCCGTCGGTGAACACGATGGCCACTCTGGGCACACGCGCAGATAGGGGCCGAGCGCCCTCCGCTGGGGTGAAACTTCGCTCGAACATGTGCTTCAGGGCCAGCCCAGTCATGGAGCCCTTGCCCATGTACTTCATCTGGGCCACGGCTTTCCGCATGTCCTTGGCCGACTGGAAGCTCCGCAGGGTGAACTCGGGGCGCACCTGCGTGGAGTACTGGAGCAGCCCCACGCGGGCGGCTTTGGGGGAAATGGCCAAGGAGTCTATGATTCCGGTGACAAACTGTTTCACAATCTCAAAATTGTCTTCACCAAGGCTCTTGGATCCGTCAATCACAAAGATCAGGTCGACTGGGCCCTCGGTGCATCCTACGGGAATAAAAGGCCACTTAAACAATTAAAAATCATTTGTCCACAAAAGCAGAAGAAACTGATGGTCAGCTGGAGGCCTAACTGCTTTGGGGAATCACCTTTATTTTTAGTTTTAGTAAAACAAGAGATTTGTAGCTTCCTGTGGTGGTGCATGCCTATAATCCCAGTACTCAGGAGGCTGAGGCATGAGGACCCTGTGAATTCAAGTCCAGCCTACATTACTTACTGAAATTCTGTTTGGTTTGGTTTTTTGGTACCAGAGATTGAACTCACAACTGCATGCTTTTGAGGAAGGTGCTTATGCTGCTGAGCTAAATCCCTGGCCCACTTAGTGAAATTCTGAATCAAACAAAACCAGCAACAAATAAAAAGAGGTGTGTGTGGGGGGGGGAGTTACAAATAATGATCATTTCTACAAAGGCCGTGCATTCAATCTTTTTTTTTTTTTTTTGTCTTTTTTTATTGGTACGGGGAATCGAACTCACAACCACACACTTACAAGGCAAGCGCTTATGTGGCTGAGCTAAATCCCCAGCCCCTGTGCGTTCAATCTTGAGTAACACCAAAGCAATAATAATAATTTTCACACACACATCTATCTATATCTATCTGTCTGTCTATCTATCTGTACCAAGAATAGAACTCTGGATCTCAAGCTCGCCAGGCAGAAACTGTGCCGCTGAGCTACATCCCTGGCCCCCACGTATATATTTTTTGGAGGGGGGGACCAGGAATCGAACTCAGGACATTGTGCTTGCCAGGTAGGTACTTACGACACTGAGCTACCTCCCACCCCCTCACATATATTTTTATTTATGTTTAGCTGATCAAATTGGTAAAAATAGTACTTTTTGTAAACAAACACACATGGCAGATGTTCAAATTATGTAAGAAACAGACCCATGCGGTACCCTGATCGCTGAGAGCCCATCTGGGAGCGCTGTGAGCACAGCACGCAGAAGAGGCTGCCCAAACCTGAGTGATCCTGTCACTGCTCCAGGAGGGTGACATCACTCGAGCACTGGCATGCAGCTGTCAGTGCCACAGAAGACCCTCCCCCACCCCCCGCCGGTGTGCTTCCACCTGTCACCCGCCCAGGTCACATGCACACTGTAAGAACCAAGCCCCGCTGACAAGCCGTTCTGCCGCTGTGCTTCCGGCTTGCTTAGCCCATCTAAGCCCTAGACCACCAGAGAGCAGGGTTTGGGGCTGTGGGAATGATCTCAATCCGTGCCCATCAATGGGTATATATATGCCTCCAAATGCTGGGTGTTTGGTGTTTCTGTTTGCAGGGGCATCAGTTCCTCCACACAGCTTTCCTAGGAATCCTCTCTGAATAGCCCTGATTTTATTAATTTATCCAGTGCAACTTTATTTATGGAGGACCTTGTCACAGACATCCCCCCAGATCCTCATCACTCACAAGTGTGGCTTTTGGAAGGTGGCCGGTGCGCTGACCTGCTGGGGGAATTGAACCTGGCCAGAAGAGGCAGTCATGGGGGTGGGGATGGGGGCCTGGCCACGAGGGTTTGCCTCTCTCCTCGCCTGTCCCTGCTCTTTCTGCTTCTGTCCCTCGTCCCTCCACTAGGTGAGCAGCTCCCTCATCCATGCCCCCTTCCAGGCTACTCTGCTTTGGAGCCAGCAGGCTGGGCTGAGCCCTCTACAAACGGACCTCTCTAAATTGCGGGCGTCAGATATTGTGTCTGAGCAAGGAGAAAGCGATTAAGACGCAAGGGTTTGTGCGAGGCAGTGGACATGGCAGGACAGTGACCGAGACTGTGTCCAGTACTCTGCTGCTTACAGTCTGCTGTGCTCTATGCTCGCTGGGAGAGGAAAAGAAGCCGGGCATCTAGTGGGTGGGACAGTCCTAAGTATCCTCCCCAGCAGCTAAAACAAACAATCACTGTGAATTCTTTTTAACCAAGGCTTTTGGGGCAACTCAGTTGACTAAAAGGAGAAAAATCTCATGCAAACACTTAAGCAGTTTGGGTGTGGAGAGACTTTGTTGTTTCAGGGCTGAATAAGAAAAACTCAGATCCCAAGCGGATGGTCTCATGTCAGTGGGCAGTGTTATTACAACGTTCTCTTTCATGTATCTAATCTTCCACAGTGAAGCACAACTATATAAGCAGGTAGAGACACACAGGCAGATGTTTCTAGGCTGGCCAGTGTAGCACACTACTGTAACTCTGTGTGTGTGTGTGTGTGTGTGTGTGTGTGTGTGTGTGTGTGTGTGGTAGCTGGGTCCTTCTCTTTCTCCACTGCACACTTGTCCACGTCACTCAACCTGTCGGCTCTGTGCTAGTGAACAAGGACATGCCGCCAGCAGGCATTTGTGACCAAATGAGCTTAGGAGCACTGTGCTGTGCTCATGTAAAGTATCTTGGGGGTGAGGCAAGCATGGGGGCACCCAGCTGCACTCCCAGCACTCTGGGACCCTGAGGCAGGAGGATCACAAGTTCAAGCCCAGCCTGGGCAACTTAGCAACTTAGCGAGATCCTGTCTCAAAATTTAAAAAACAGGCTGGGGATATAACTCAAGTGGTCCAATCCCCAGGAACACGAAACATGCAGACACATCTGGGGTCTGCTTAGAGCTGCCTCATTCTTTTTTAACAGCTGCAATTCATTCCACTGTGTTGGCAACTATGACTTATTTAACCGATCTCTTAAGGGTGGACATTTAGCTTGCTTCCAGTTTTTTGCTGCTAGAAATAATGATGTAAAAAATACCCTTGTGTATGTGGCTTTGTGATGTATGTACATATCTAGGGTTGCATCTAAAATATGGCCAAATCACCCTCCTAAAAACTGTGCTAGCTGGGCTGGGGATTTAGCTCAGTGGCATAAGCACCTGTCTTGCAAGCAGGCGGTCTTGAGTTCGATCCCCGGTACCAATAAAAATGAAAAAGACAAAAACAAAAACTGTGCTAGCTACACACCCACTGGTCACTTTATAATTGCCTATTACCACTGCCAACATAAGAAATTATTACATTTTTTTTTTCCTTTTTTGCAGGAGGGACCAGGAATCAAACTCATGAACTTGCATTTGCCAGGCAGGCACTTATGCTGCTGAGCTAATCCCCAGCCCTACATTTTCAATCTCTGATAACTCATGAAGGGGTATCATAAGTTTAATCTCATAATACACAGTTTCTTTTTCTTTTAAGGCTTTTAAATTTCATGTTGTGTTTAGCACAGCCCCTCTCCTCTGAGATTATAAATTCAACATTTTCTTGCTATTTCGTGGCTAAATTTTTTTTTCTTTTTCGTTTTTATCGGTTCCAGGAATCGAACTCACGACTGTCTGCTTGCAAGGCAGGCGCTTATGCCGCTGAGCTAAATTCCCAGCCCCTTCATGGCTAAATTTTTGTTTCTCTTTTTAGAGATAAATTCTTTTTTTGTTGTTTTTTTCCCCAATACAGGGGATCAAACCCACAACTGTGCACTTCCAAGGCAGGTGCTTATGCTGCTGAGCTAAATCCCCAGCCAAACCCTTGTTTTGTACTCCAGAGTGGTCTTGTACTCACTATGTAGCCCAGGCTAGCCTCGAACTCAAGGCAATTCTCCTGCCTCAGCCTCTGGAATGGTGGTATTACAGGCATGCGCCACTATGCCTGGTTTAATTTTTTTTTTTAATGTTACAACCTTTGATCCATCTCTTTGCCTGAAGTCCACTGTGCTGTACTGAAGGGCTTCTCCTGAAGTCCACTGTGCTGTAATTCTCCAGCACAGGGCAGAGCACAGTTCTACCTCTCACAACCAGATTTTCTCATTTAGACTGGGATCACTGCACCTTTTAAACTTCCGGGCACCTCAAAGTGTTCCACAGGTCCTGCAGACACGAGGCCCCGCCCTGCCCCTCACCCTGCTGTGTGTGCCTACGCTAGTTTAAACACATGAGGGAAGCAGAGTGAAGGTTTTGTGGCCTGAAAATGTTCCAAAAAGCCATTGCTGCAAAACCCAGCGGGAGCCGAGCCGAGCCGAGCCAGGCCACTCACTCTTACAGCGCCGTCCATCCTCGGCGAGGATGAAGCCCGGGGAGCACCTGCAGACATAGGAGTCGCCCTTGTTCACGCAGATGTGTTCGCAGCCGTGAGAGCTCGAAGAGCAGATGTCCTTCCCTGAGGAGAGAGCGGAGGGGCAGCCCATCAGTGGAAAGGGTGAGAAGCTCAGCTAAGGTGTGAACAGACGCTGGGTGTGAGCTCTTCACCCTCCGCAGGGTCTCGCTCTGCAGCCCAGGCTGGCCTTGAACTCAGAGCAGTGCTCCTCCTGTCTCAGCTTCCGGAGTGTGAGGATTACAGGCATGTGCCACCAGGCCTGGCAAAAGCAAATGAACTTTTGCCTTAACTGAGAAAGGGCCATTCGGCCAGCTGGGGCAGAGTGTCACCAAAGCAAGTAAGAGGTTATTAAAATTCCCCAAAGGAGGATGAAGGGCCAGAATCCCGGGGGATAAAATGTCCTGCCCTGTGCGCTGCTAATGCCCCTCCCTGAGCTAGCACGGCCGCAGCACCCTCTCCCTTGGTGCTGTGATGGCGAATGTCAGTGCCCCCTCGGCCAGGCCTGGTGCTCGGCTATCTGTTCCAGCACCAGCCTAGATGTCTTGAAGCTCACTTTTAGGTGAGATTAACATTGGGTAGACTGAGTAAGCAGGGGTCCCCCCTTAATGTGGGCAAGCCTCATCCAATTAGTTGAAAGTCAAGAGAAAAAGACCAAAAAGAAGAGGGGACTCTCTGGGTGCCAAGGCTGCACTGAATACCTCACATTTGTCAGCTCTCACAAGCCCATGAGCCAGTTCCTCTCTCTCTTGCTGTCTCTGTCTCTCTCACTACACACACATATACAATTGTCTTTTTTTTTTTAAAGACAGAGTCTTGCTATGCTTGAACTCACTATGGAGCCCAGGTTGACCTTGAACTCGAGGGGGATCTTCCTGCCTCAGCCTCCTGCGTACTGGGATTACAGGTGTGGGCCACCACTTTCAGCACAATGTCAGCTTTTCTAGAGACCCCTGACAGAACCTTCTGTAATTTCAAGGACTTTATTCTGTGTGACCTATGAAAGTAAATGAGAGAGAATGGACTTTTCAGAAACCCACAGAAATCCTATGGCCCCTCTTCTTCTCCTTACCCTCGCTTATGAAGTCTGCCAAGAAGAAAAAGGCCTGTGCTTATTTCTGCTGTATGTAGTGGCTCTGGAAAAGACTCCCTGTGCGATGCCCGGCCAGGCAATGCCCTAGGCCCTGTCATCCACGTGGCCGCCATGACAGGCAAAGTGCCCTGCAACTCAGGACCCCTGAAACATCCCAAGGGACTAACATCTGTAGGGAAACACTTCCAGGTGGCCAAGGTAGGAATTTAGATTCATGATCTGGCTGACAATTGTGAAAAGGCAGATTTTAAAATGAGATGTGGTGATGCGTGCCTAAAGTCCCAGCACTCAGGAGGCTGAGGCAGGAGAGTTGCTGAGACTTCAAGGCCAGCCTGAGCTACATAGCAAGATCTTATCCCAAGAAGGAGGAGGGGGTGGGCGTTAAAGGTTAAACAAAGATCTCTAACCGCTGGGTCCCACAGATGGAGAAGCCCCCCACCCCGCCCAGCGCCTTACTTTTGCAGCGCTTGCCGTCCTCTGCGAGCCTGAACCCCTCCAAGCACTTGCAGGTGTATGACTTGTCGCTGCTGACACACACCTGCTCACAGCCGTGGGCCACATCCTGGCAGAAGTCTTTCCCTGCGGGTGGCAGAGTAGTCAAAACAAGTGCACCAACTTAAATGTTACACGGCCTTGGCCTTGGAGGACCCGTGTGTCCCTGAGCAGATGAGGCTCCTAAGCAGACTGCTCCAGCTTTCTCTCTCCCACCCCCTCCAACTTGGCTTTAGGAGCACTGAAATCTAATGTCCCTTTGTCCCAACACAGCACAGGACTTGGGAGAATCACCTAGGCTCTTGGAATCTTAGTGTGCCTGTCTGGAAAATCAGAATAATGACTCCAGTTACTTATCTTTCCTTCCAACAGTATTAACATCACTGTGTAGCCCAGGCTGACCTTGAACTCGCAGTGATGCTCCTGCCTCAGCCTCCCAAATCTTGGGATTACAGAGGTGAGCCACCACATCTGGCCCAAACTGTTCTTTGTGAAAAGCTTTGAGAAGTCTGAGAAGGTGACTGACAGGGATGGGAATCCTCTGCTCGGGGTTACACTCCTGTAATGGCACCAAGCTGTGTTCTGGGATTTAGGCCAGGGGTGAAGTTGCCACACTGCTGTCCTTGGAGGGCTGGTCATGCCTGCCTGAGAGGTGCTGCTTTCTGAAACAAGGGTGGCTTCTTCACCAGATGACCAAGGAGGGATTCGTGCACCAGAAATAACAACATCACAGTCACATTGTAAACTACAGTTTCCAGAGGCCCAGGGAGGGGAAGCAGCTTTCCTAGCTGCAGAACTACGGGCCCCGTCTACCCTTCCGGTGTACCTCTGCCTAGTTTCCTGCCACACGGCACAGAACAGGACAAGCCCAGCTGCTGCCCTCCATTGACTGGTTTTGTTGTTGGTTTTCTTGTTCATTTTTTAATAGACTGTTTATTCAGGTAGGTGCTGGGGATTAAACCCAAGGCCTCGTGCATGCTAAGCATGTGTTCTACAGTGAGCTGTACCTTGTTATTAGAGTTTATTTTTAGAACAGTTTTAGATTCTATAAAAACATGTGAGAAAATTTCCATATGCCCTGCACCCCGCTTCCTTTATTATTAACATCTACAGTAGGACAGTATATTTGTCATAAGGAATGAACTCAGACTGACAGGATATTATTAGCTCATGTCCAGAGCTTGTGTCCACTTAGGCTCGGGTGCCATGTGTGTGTGCAGTACTGGGAACTGGACCCTGCACACGCTAGGAGGCTCCCACACTGAGTGACATTCACTTTTTACTTGGTGTTTAGCAGTGTCCACCTTCCTGCTGCAGGGTCTCCGTAGGTCCCCCCTTGGGCAGTGCTGAGTAGCAAGCGTGTACCCCCGGGCCCCCCAAGCCCAGGGCAGGGCTGACGCAGCTGTCACTTACTCTTGCAGGTCTTCCCGTCGTCACGGAGTAGGAAGCCTTCAAAGCACCGGCACTCAAATGAGTCTTCGCTGCTTACACACGAATGTTCACAGCCATGGTCCCCCGCGGCACAAGGGTCCCGTTCTGAGGATCGAATTGGCATGACAGAAACAGGAACAAAAAGTGATTCGAACCTGAGACACTGGCTCACCCCCCAGGAGGTTTTCAGACCCCTTAAATTAAACGGACCCATTTCTGCAGATCACTGTTGAGTAAAACTCATGTCTGAGAGCAGTCACCCATGCAGAACACATCCAAGTAAATATTACAGTCATCCCCTCGGGAGAAATAAATAAAAGACAGGAAAGCCAGGCCAGGTGTGGTGGCACAGGTCTGTAATCTAGCGTTAGGGAAGCTGAGGCAGGAAAATCATCACAAGTTCAAATCATCACAAGTTCAAAACCAGCTGGTGTAGCATAGTAGATTCATGCCTAGCCTACCTATATTGTGAGACCCTCTCTCAAAAAAAAAGACATTTCATGAAAGGAGAAATAAATGGCATATAAATATTAGAAAACAGGTAACTTCATTGATTATCATAAAATATCAACTTACCTATAGATACATGTATGCATATATCACACAAGGCAGTCCAATCATTCAGTCAGTCAACAATTTTTCTTTTTTTTTGAGACAGGCTCTCACTATGTGGTTCAGGCTGGCCTTGAACTCAATCTGTACCCCAGGCTGGTGCTCAAATGATCCTCTGCCTCGGCCTCCTGAGGGCTGCTGGAATTACGGACATGTGCAGCCACACCCTGCTCCCATTGTTAATCCATGTCCAAACCAGACTGACTAGAAATGTCCCCATGTGATAATAAATCCCTTTCTCTTCCTGACTACATCACTATATTCTAAGGTAAGTTTCCAAACACGCAGGGAATTTTGTCTGTCCTTCTCTGGGCAGCAGCGCTGCCCAAATCTTCCAACAATGGCAAAGCACTGGGAACTGGAGCTGCAGAAGACAGCCAGCCCGAGATGGGGCCTGGGTTTGCTGCAGCCTGACTCTGAGCACATCCTGGACTGATTACTGATGCAGTGTTTCCCAATGGCTCGGGGCAGCTCCTTGCATAATGGAAAATACAGCGCGTGATCCAGAACACAGGCGGCCAGCGGGCCAGGAGGGGGCTCACAGGCGGCCAGCGGGCCAGGAGGGGGCTCCAGCACGATGAACATGCGCGGCACTGCACCTCCCAGGTCTTGAGGCAGCCCAAGCTCTCTCAGGCCCTGCCCACGGCCATCTGAAGCTGTGAGTGCCTTCTCCTCCCTACCCAGCGGCTGGAGAACTACCCTGTGAGGCTGCTTCCCCTCAGGAGGGGCAGGAAAAGCGGAGCCCACTGGGTGCATCTTCCAGCGGGCTGCAGCTTCTCAGTCCCCCTCCCCAGGCCCAGCCTCGATGCTCTTGGATTTCTGTTGTGTGCGTGCTTTAAAAATCACATGATGAGTTTTCACCGCCCCCATCCTTGTCTCCTAAGAACATGTGCCCAAGCCACAGTAAAAGTGGGTGAACGCTCAGGCTCAGGCAATCATCCGATGGCTGCTCACCCAAAGCAGGCACAGGATTCCATGGCAAACCTATCGGGGCACATGGCCCTGTGTTGCAGAGCCTGGCCCGGGACACGAATGTGCCTCTCACCCCACAAGTTCACTTCTGCGGTCTGTCCCACAGTGTTCTCCAAGCTGTCAGCCAAGCGCCGTGTGTAACAGAAAATTTGGGGGCTGGGGATTTAGCTCAGTGGCATAAGCGCCTGCCTTGAAGCAGGCAGTCGTGAGTTCGATCCCTGGTACCGATAAAAACGAAAAAGACAAAAAAAAAGAAAATTTGAACAACCCTCGTGTGCAGCAGCAGAGCTGGAGCACAGTCCATGCAATACAACCTTACACAGCACCAAAGAAAGATCGGTGGGCAACAGGCTTGGGTAACCACAGCAACAACGAAAGCACAGAATAGAAGATACAGTATTGTTTATGGCATAAGAAAGTTGAGGAAATAAAAGTATTTGCTGGCATTCACATAAAAAGCACCAAAAGGCTTAATAAACTAATTGTTATATTACACAGCTGCTCTCCAATACCGAGTGAGAAATTATCTACCAAATTTAGCAGGATTTTTGCGGGGGGGGGGGCAGGGTCTCCCTATTCAGTTCAGGCTGGCCTTGGGCTCACTTTGTAGCCCACGTTGGTCTCGAACTTGCAAACAATTCTCTGTCTTAGCTTCCCAAGTGCTGGGATTACAGGAGTGCACCACCACGCCCAGCCTTTTTTTTTTTTTGTTGGTTTTTTGAAACAGGGTCTCACTATGTGGCTGACTTTGAACTCAGTGTATAGCCTAGACTGGCCTTGAACTTCCTGCGATCCTCTTGCCTCGGCCTTCTGAGTGCTGGAATTACAGGCATGTACCACCACAGCCAGCATCCTTGTATCCCAGCATTCTGGTTCAGGCAGGAGGATCTCAAGGAGTCCAGCCTAGAGAGCTTAACAAAAGCCAATCTCAAAATAAAAAGGAAAAAGGGTTGGTGTTTCAGCTCAGTATGAAGGCTCCAGGCTCGATTCTCATGATCAGAAAAAATATTTCTACAGGAAACGAAGGGCTCATAGTTAAAAGTAAACCTCTCACCTTTGACATCAACACTAGTCTTCATTACTTTCTAGCTGCAGGGAACCAATACCCACACCCACAATTCTGCAAAGGAAAGGGTTATTTTGGCTCACTGTTCATATGGGGTTTTAGTCCATAGTTGTTTGGCCCAAGCAGGGCGGCCTGGCAGAGAAAAAGCAGCTCAGGGTTCAGTAGCAGGAAGCAGAGAGATCAAGGGAGGAGGAGGGAGGGAGGGAGACCCTCCAGGCCACACCCCCAGTGAGCCACCTCCTCCCCCCAGGCTTCACCGTGCAGTATCACGATTATCTATAAGTTCCTCAGCAGACTCATCCACAGGGGAGCATCACACCCCCCATGACCCAACCACCTCCCAGAAGCTCCACCTCTAAGCCCATGAAGCTTTGGGGGACACCCAGGTACAAACCATAGCAATCATCATTTTTAAATGCACAGTAATTCATGGGGCCAGTCTCGTGTTTGAGGGGCATTTAGGTGGCTTCTAGTCTCTTTTTTATAAAAAAAATCATCACCATGGTGACACACATTTTTGTGCATACAGTTCTGTATACAATATGAAAATGTAGCTGAAAAGCACAAACCCGAGGCAGAAATGCTTTAAGAGTCTGACCAATCAGAAGGTAATCAGTAACTCTAAGACTTCCTCCAAAGAGCTTTGTGCTGGTTCATCTACGAGTCCTCTTACTGTCTCATAGGGGGGCTTCTGAAAGTTGGTTGAATTATGGGGAACCCCCTGACTCATGCCAAGACTTTGTCAAGACTCCTGCCACTGGGCTTCAGTGTCATCTCCCCTGCTCTCCCAGGCTCTAGGGCTTTGCACGCCCCAGCTCCCTGGAAGCCTCTTCCCCATCCCCCTGCTCCCTCATGGTGCCTCTTACTTTTCCTCCCTCTCATCGCTCAGGAAGTCTTCTCTGGCCGTCCAGCTGGGTCTCCCCGCACCGAGTTCCCAGCCCCAAGCTATAGTTGAACATTCACTGTTGTGACTTTGGGGGTTCTTCTGTCCCCTCCTCATCAGGCTATAACCACACGGACTGTGAAGGCCAAGAGCCCACAGAGAAGTCCCTTGCTTCTCTCCATTCCCAGCACCATGGTAATGCCTGGCCCGTAACAGCACCCTGCGAAGAGGCGGCCAAGCCAAGGAAGCAGCTCCTCAGTTTTCTACCCAGAACCAAGAGGAATTGCCTTGTGTGGACGTTTCCAGTCAGATGCTGCGGTCACTGGGCACCTCACTCTCCCACACACCAGCCTTGTGGAACAGAACCCACTGCCCACATTTGTTCCACACAGTGCCCGCTTCTGCCTGGTGGGGATGTGCTGGGTCACTTATGCACCCAAAGAATCACAGGACAAATGAGAGAATGCCAAAGGTGGCCTGAGAGGCCTTCCTGGCTGAGTCTAGCTCTTTCTACCTATCAAGCTGGGGTCAGGTTCCCTAAATGTTCTCCCCAAATATACTCTCTGATGGAGATGGGCTTTGGAAGTTCCCTGCAGGTGATGATGCCCACTGTCCCTGCTGCACAGCACAGGGACCCCAGCTTGAGGGATGACAGGGAACACCCTCATGACGGCTACACTCAGGTAGCACCGTGTTATGGAGCACTTACCCTGAGCCAATACAACTGTATTCAGGGGCTGGAAAATACCTTAGAGATGCACTAAGCAGCTCTTAAATGTTAGACAAGGAAATTGACACTCAGAGAGACTTTCCCAAGTTCCTTAGCAACCTGCAGACATCCCTTGTTTGGCTGTACTGGAGCAGAAGGGAAAGTCCGTCATGAACCAGTCCATCCACGTTTCCTGGTCTGGCCACACACACAACAGCCATCCTGGCTCATCAGGTCTGCTTGGACAGCTCGGCAGGTGCTCGAAGACTGGAAGCTCGATGGGGTGGGGTGGGGGTGATCTCTGGAAAGTTTGCTGTGGCTTTCAGTGGGTGGGAGGCTCTGCCCTGATGCTTCTCTGGGCTCCCTCCTGTTGGCTGCATCAGGACTCAGGACGCAGAAGACCCAGCTCCCTGTGGCGCCTGCTGGACCCCGGGCCTATCTGCATGGTCCCCGGGCCTGGGATGCTCTTCTGCTCCAGCTCTGACTCTTTTCCCCTACTTAGTTCCTAGTGTTGGACTAAACATCTCCCGGGGGGAGGGGGGGGCTCCCTGACACATGCTGCAGTGTACACAGTGGGCACTACACCTTTAGCACCCTGTTCCCTGGAGAAATTCAGAGTCCATCCATGCAGACACGGGAATTGTGTGACGCCCGGATCCCCAGTGCCGAGCACACCAAGGTGCCTGGTAACTACTTGCAGAGAATAGGAAGGAGCAGCCCCCAAGCTTAAGGAAGCATGGGGACTCCAATTCTTAGTGCAGCAAGTTGGGTTAGAACCACGGTCACTGTGAGCCACCTGAGGTCCAGGAGAAGTCTCAGGCGGCGAGGGGAAGGGATTCTCATGCTTTCTCGAATTTAATTTA